TATCTATCTATCTATCTATCTATCTATCTATCTATCTATCTATCTATCTATCTATCTATCTATCTATCTATCTATCTATCTATCTATCTATCTATCTATCTATCTATCTATCTATCTATCTATCTATCTATCTATCTATCTATCTATCTATCTATCTATCTATCTATCTATCTATCTATCTATCTATCTATCTATCTATCTATCTATCTATCTATCTATCTATCTATCTATCTACTCTATCTATCTATCTATCTATCTATCTATCTATCTATCTATCTATCTATCTATCTATCTATCTATCTATCTATCTATCTATCTATCTATCTATCTATCTATCTATCTATCTATCTAATCTATCTATCTATCTATCTATCTATCTATCTATCTACTATCTATCTATCTATCTATCTATCTATCTATCTATCTATCTATCTATCTATCTATCTATCTATCTATCTATCTATCTACTATCAATCTATCTATCTATCTATCTATCAATCTATCTATCTATCTATCTATCTATCTATCTATCTATCTATCTATCTATCTATCTATCTATCTATCTATCTATCTATCTATCTATCTATCTATCTATCTATCTATCTATCTATCTATCTATCTATCTATCTATCTATCATATCTATCTATCTATCTATCTATCTATCTATCTATCTATCTATCTATCTATCTATCTATCTATCTATCTATCTATCTATCTATCTATCTATCTATCTATCTATCTATCTATCTATCTATCTATCACTATCTATCTATCTATCTATCTATCTATCTATCTATCTATCTATCTATCTATCTATCTATCTATCTATCTATCTATCTATCTATCTATCTATCTATCTATCTATCTATCTATCTATCTATCTATCTATCTATCTATCTATCTATCTAATCTATCTATCTATCTATCTATCTATCTATCTATCTATCTATCTATCTATCTATCTATCTATCTATCTATCTATCTATCTATCTATCTATCTATCTATCTATCTATCTATCTATCTATCTATCTATCTATCTATCTATCTATCTATCTAACTATCTATCTATCTATCTATCTATCTATCTATCTATCTATCTATCTATCTATCTATCTATCTACTATCTATCTATCTATCTATCTATCTATCTATCTATCTATCTATCTATCTATCTATCTATCTATCTATCTATCTATCTATCTATCTATCTATCTATCTATCTATCTATCTATCTATCTATCTATCTATCTATCTATCTATCTATCTATCTATCTATCTATCTATCTATCTATCTATCTATCTATCTATCTATCTATCTATCTATCTATCTATCTATCTATCTATCTATCTATCTATCTATCTATCTATCTATCTATCTATCTATCTATCTATCTATCTATCTATCTATCTATCTATCTATTCTATCTATCTATCTATCTATCTATCTATCTATCTATCTATCTATCTATCTATCTATCTATCTATCTATCTATCTATCTATCTATCTATCTATCTATCTATCTATCTATCTATCTATCTATCTATCTATCTATCTATCTATCTATCTATCTATCTATCTATCTATCTATCTATCTATCTATCTATCTATCTATCTATCTATCTATCTATCTATCTATCTATCTATCTATCTATCTATCTATCTTTTATTAACAATTTGTCAAACTCTTTGATTATGCAATTAATTCGTATAGGATATCCTTTGATTGTTGAATTACTTTGTTAACTACCTTATAATCTATAGGATTGTAAGAGGTATTTCATATAAATAAAGCTCAAAGGAAAATCTAAAAAATTAAGTGTACACCAAGTGTTCGATAAATTGTTTCACTTAGTTTTATCAATTGTTTCATTGAATATTGGTTCACCTTGTAATTGTAAAACAATTACTTCAGAGATTATTGTATTAAGAACTTATTATCATCATTCAATTGAATTTGATATTTTACGCATATCCGAGCCTTTAAGCACCAGTTTGATTTGAACGACTTGTGATCTAGAATATGCCTTCCGCTTGCCAAAGTTTTTGCTTAATTTTTTAAAACAGTTTTTTAATAAAAATATTTCAATGGGGTCTATTCATCCTCCCTCTGGATAAGTTAACTTGGTCTAACAATAATTGTGTATATCATACTTAACCGAAACTACTCTTTCGGCACGCTTTTTATACTCATTTTCTAAAACTTTGAAGTTCGAAATAGGATACTAATTTGAAAATGATGGACGAAAATCCAAGCCAAATTCATAATTTTGTAATGGTGGAAGGTTAGAAAAATAAAATCTTAAATACAAATCGTATATATCTTTTTCATAAGGAGAAATTTTCAAGTATGGAAGTTTTTCAATAACTTTTTGTTTTAAAGTAAGGGTTGCACCATAAGTATTTCGACTAAGTTAATATGGATTATACACAATTTCAAAATAGTTTTGAAAGCTTGAATTTCCTTGATGTGTGTACCTCCGATTTTCTTAAATTTATTATGTAGAGATGAAAAAGTGTTTGTTAGACGTTGCAGAAGAGTTGAATGGTCCACAGAAACATCATGATGGTAGTCTGTCCACCACTCTTCGAGTTGTCAAGTGAAAATATAAGAAACTTAAATTTTTAAAGAAGTTAAGGTAATTATTTTTTGTAATTAAAGTTTAAACATGTTTAATATTATTTTTCAGTCGGTTCGGTAGTGGCTAGAAATTTTTTGTCATTGGTGTGGAAAAAGGACTCTGGTAAAAATTGGCCAAAGCCAAATTATCTAGCCATCAAGTTGGGTTGATAACTAACGATTCCTAGACCTCCTTTTCCCAATGTAATCTTGGTCAATAAAATGTTAGGCTTGAGGAAAGCATTGTAGTTGTTGAGGGACTCAGATAAGAGAAAAAA